AGACAATCCCACCTCCCGTCCCTTGATCTTGCGCAAGTGCCTTTTGTTTGTTGACCTACGTACCTAGTTTGCTCCTCCGTCGGACTGCCTGTGTACATCTGAGCCCTGCGGCGAAGGATCGAAAGAGGGCAAAAAGGAAAAAGAAAGAAAGGCACATCTCAATTGTCTTGTTTCACTCCCTTGAGCGGTGTGGCAGCCGATCGCTTTCTTCTCACAAGTCTCTTTGTCTCCGTCTCTCTCTTCTCGGCACCCGCCAACCGCAGCCATGGTCTTCTATCCCATGAAATGGATTCCTCCTCTCCCCGAAATTCCAGACACGGTGCCCATATGCGATTTCATGCTGGACGAGAAGCACGGCCGGACCCCGTACTCCGAGTCCAAGGACGCCTACACCTGCGGCCTGACGGGGAAAAGCGTCTCGGCGCGACAACAGAAGGACGATGTGGACAGCCTGTCGCGCGCGCTGGCCAAAGAGTTTGGCTGGGGGGTCAATGAGGGCACCGAATATGACAAGGTCGTGGGCATCTTTGCGCTGAACACGGTAAATATATACATTAAAAATACATATACACATAAGATTTGTTGCTCGGGCAATCTTTTTTTATATGTATATGTTACACAAGGGGGACAAGGTTCTAACGGATATCCGCAGATAGACATCATGACGCTGAACTGGGCCATCCACAGAATCAATGGCGTGTCCGCCCCCGCCAACGCCGCCTTCAACGCCGACGAGCTGAGCTATCAACTCACCAACTCCGGGTCCAAGGTGCTATTCACCGTGATGCCGCTGCTGAAAACTGCCCTGGAAGCCGCGGCCAAGTCGAACATCCCGCGGAAGAACGTCTATATCTGTGAAATGCCAAACGATCCGCCCATCCCCAGCGAATTCAAGACTCTGTCCCAAATGACCAAGGAGGGCCGCTCGCTGCCAGCGCTAGAGCCGATCAAGTGGGAAAAGGGCCAGGGGGCACGGCAGACTGCATTCCTGTGCTACTCCAGTGGCACCTCGGGACTGCCGGTGAGTCTTTTCCCTCTTGACGACACATGAAAAACGAGTCCTGACAGGAATCCGCAGAAAGGAGTCATGATTTCCCATCGGAACGTCATAGCCAACACGGTCCAGATCTCTGTCTATGACCAGCCCAGCCGCGACGCAATTGCCCCAGGGTATCGTGATGTGGCCCTCGGTCTGCTCCCTCAGTCGCACATCTACGGGCTGATCGTCATCTGCCACTCTTCGACGTACCGCGGCGATCAAGTCATTATCCTCCCAAAGTTCGACTTGAACAACTATCTCAATGGGATCCAGAATTTCAAAATTAACACCCTCTACATCGTGCCGCCCATCATCATCGCCATGGTCAAGAATCGGGATCTGACCAGCAAATATGACCTGTCGAGCGTGACCTCCATCTTCACGGGTGCTGCGCCGCTGGGCAAAGAGACCGCTGAGGAATTGGCGTCGCAGTTCCCCGCCTGGAAGGTCCGACAAGGCTACGGCCTGACCGAGACGTGTACGGTCGTGTGCTCGACGTCTCCAAAGGACATATGGTTTGGTTCTTCGGGATGTCTGATCCCCGGGTACGAGGCCAAAGTCATGAGCATGGAGGGGAACGAGATCACCGGGTACAATCAACCGGGTGAACTCCTCGTCAAGTCTCCCAGCGTCGTGCTCGGATACTTGAAGAATGAGAAGGCCACAATGGAGACGTTTGTGGACATGCCCGAAGGCAGATTCATGCGGACCGGAGACGAGGTCGAGTTCAGGGTGTCGCCCAACGGCAACGAACACATCTGGGTCGTGGATCGCATCAAGGAGCTGATCAAAGTCAAGGTGAGTAAAATTTCCGAGAATAGCGTTCTATGTATGTGAGAGAGTAAGTCTGACACAAGTCAACAGGGCCTCCAAGTCGCCCCTGCAGAGCTCGAGGCGTGCCTGCTCAACCACCGCGCGGTGGCCGACTGCGCCGTGATTCCTGTCCCAGACGACCGGGCGGGCGAAGTACCCAAGGCGTTTGTGGTGAAGGCCAAGTCGATAGGCATGGAGGAAAGCGAGGCCCTCCTCAAGCGCGACATCATCAAGCACGTCGAGAAGGAGAAGACTCGGCACAAGTGGCTCGCCGGCGGCGTGGAATTCATCGACGTCATCCCCAAGAGCGCCAGCGGCAAGATTCTCAGGAGGCTGCTGAGGGATCGAGAAAAGGAGGCGAGAAGGAAGGCTGGCGCCAGGCTGTGATGCCCCTCCGTTTGGTCGGTCGGTAAGAGAGCATCATCGAATTGGAGATCAGGAGTCTGTTCTGTCCATACTGGGTGGCCTGGGGGAGGCTGTAGATGTTCAAAGATTGCACAATTACCACTACTCTTCGAGCTTGACCTGATGACAATACATATATTTCTTTGGGCCTGAAGAGGCTCTGGGTCTTCCCGGACTGCGCATTTGAGGAATGGCGACGTCCCTGGGTGTCGTTAGTATCCCGAAACTCAAGTTGTCATTCTCCAGATCTTCGAAGCAAAAAGAAGAGGCCACAGCCTTGCATCGTCCGTCAACGAAATACAGAAAGTAAAAGATGGACATGGTTGGCTTTCTTTAATTTTACCTAGCGAGCTAGGTACTTGTGACATTGATTCCACGCGGAAGTCAGAAACGGCAGGTCTTCCGGCTGCCGAGCTTGTCTCACACCCTCACACAAAGAAACACCGAGAAAACGGGAATTCAAATACACCCGCGAACAAAGTTGGGGGCAAAAAAAATGAAGAGGAGGTGCTTCTGCACTGGCCGTGAATCGAACACGGGGCTGAACTTAATGTTAGTTATCATTGGAATCCTTGCTGAGAAGGGTTGGTCAAACTCACCCCATCGATGGCAACGATGGATTTTCTAGAAAACCTGTTAGGCGACACTGTGTACAGTATAACGGATGCCTGGGAGAGAACATACACCACTAAACTAGAGATGCTGTTAGAATCCTAATCAAGCCAGATTGATTGTACTGGAAACTTCGCTACTTACCCACCAGTGCTGTGATTGTTGGCATATTTCTTACTTTTACAAAATATAAAGTATCAAAACATATTACAATGATGATAGGCCGGGTCGGAATCAGATCCATACTTAATTGTGACCAAGGACTATTATTGGCTGGCTGCTTTAGTAGCTAAGAACACGAAGTGCCCTCATTGCCATTAATCCATGTTATCACGAAACAAAGCATGGTAGTTCAGGATTGATATTAAGGCAGGCCATCTCTGCACCGAGGTTGGCGATCAAATTAGGGAGATAGGATTGCGATAGCCATGTCATGGCAAAGTCTATTGGAAAGCTATGGAGATTTTTGTTCAATTTCTCGAATGCTCATGTATAAGTTATAAGCTTGACATGGTCCCGAGTCTCAATACCCAGTAAAAGCAGCAGCTTCTGTCGATAATTATGTGCACGACTACCGCTCACAATAGTACCGTAGAGGGCTTCAGGGCTCAGCTGCCCGATGTACTGCCAACTCCTCTTCTGTCTCAAATGTCTTTACACTCATTGAGGTTACAGTGGTATGGCAAGTGGACAGTCCTTCGGTGAGTTGATCGCTTTCAGTTCGGGATAAGTGGTCGTAGTGAGAGCAAGCAATATCGGCTGGAAAGTGGCGCTGAAGGTGTCGGATATCATTTTTCTGATTTTTGCGGAGGCCGCGTTGGAAGTTTTCAGGAGGTTATCTAGGGTTCGATGGGCATCCAAATAACTCTTTTGAAGGAAGCCGTTGGTGGTTGGATTGAGTTCGCAATGATGAAGAGGGGCTCTCGCCAACCCGAAGCAAGGCTGTCGCCCTGCCTCGCAAAGATTGCTGACTTGACTCCCCTTCCGATAGTCTCCGCATTCACAGAGCACCAAAACTACGAAGGACGCTTCGAAGCCTTTGGTGAGGTGCTTCTTATTGGAGGCATCGGAAGGTTACTGTATGAGCACCGCCGAAGGCCTTCAGACTAGCGTTGATAGCCCCTGTGTAAGTTACCAGACGGTGTATAGTCAGACAGATCCCCGTGGCCCTACTAGAATCTATCGTGTCCTCCATTGAGTCACAGCTCATAGATCGAAATTGGCAGGTAACACTGATGAGACGGATCTATGCGAATGCGACAAAGGTTGTTGTTTGGGTAGGTGACGAAGATGAAACTACAGTGCTCGCTTTCGACACGATAGAGAGGTATGCGATGGCCAAGGAACAGGTATTCGGTCCCATGAAGGATGTGTTCGAGGGATACGAACAAAAACTCGAAAGCTATTAAGACATTTCTGACACGGGAGTGTTCAGTCGGCTGTAGATCATTCAGGAGATGGTCGCCGCCAAGGCTGTAGAAGAGCACCGCGCCCATATGTGATGCCGTGGGACACCCTGTAAATGCAGTCCTGTGGCTGCATGTCTGTGGGGTTCGACATGGCATCGATCCGGAAGGGTTGATCATCTTGGATGCAAGTAGATGACATTTTGATCTCATTGGCAACGGTACTACAGAAAACGTCGCACAAGGACGACCATCGCTTTATGAGCTTCTGGACGAGTGGCGTTCCAACCAGTCCTCAGATAACCGAGACCGGATATTCTCCCTCATAGGCATTAGTTGTGAAGCCAACGATCAGGATTTCGCGGTCTACTACACTAAGACCTCCGAGAACACATACATAAAGCTCATACGGCTGTTAATTGCGACAGGACGGGACTTGAATGTCGTCAGTCTAATGCACAAACGCGACGAACCGTCACAACTGCATCTACCTTCCTGGGTGCCAAACTTTGGTATAGAATACGGATCAGACCTCCTCAATCACCCGAACGTGGGCGAGGTACGACGCTATACTGCCCCGTGTGACCCGTATTTCAGTGGTGTATCCAACAGCAAAGGGTTGGGTGGCAGCATGTCGTCCCTTGCTTATTTTGCTTCTGCCGAAACGACAGGTGAGAGAACTTGTATGTCTTCGAAGCACTTCGTATAGTCTTATTCCAAGCTTCTCACCCACGACGTTTCAATGCTCCTGCTAACTCAGCTCCAGGGGTTGGGCTCTCAGGACTTCGAGATCTCACGCGTTTCATCTCGTCCGATATTGGCGTTCCATGGCCGAGAGGGAGAAGTGTTTGCGGAGAGAAGTATTCCTCCGCAAAATATGGGTGGATGATACTATCGAGAGCTGGTCTTTCCGAGCCTGGTTCCATGTCTGACTCCTCTTCCTCCATCTCTTTGATCGGCCCTAGGTATTTCCGTAATTGGAACTGGAACTTGGATGAAGACACCCCGAAGGATATTAAATAAGCCATGTCCTTCTCGATCTTTTGTAGTACCAGATCCAGGGAGAAAGTGGCTTTTCACGGTAGATTTGCGGCATCGTCCGTTGGTACGACATGCTCTTCAGCATTCCTTTCTCGATCCACTTCCCAGTTGTTTTCCATACAACTTTGTCGTCGAATTCAGCCAGTGCATCAGCGAGACCAACGAATCCCGCGTGCTTGGCCTTCGTGAAGCCTGTAAGAGGATGACGGAATAAGTTTCGTAGACTTGGTCGATGGTCATTCCGAAACTTCAGGTACGGGTTCTGGGCGATATCGGACCAATCGACATATTTCTTTTCGTTGTTGTCAAAATAACCCACCAACTTCCGGTTTTGATGGACAAATGACCAGCCGATAAAGAATAGTCTAAATCGTTTCGGCGCCAGCTGGTTGTCCCCGGGTGCGCTTGGAACAGGAACAATGGATATTTGCATATAACTTTAACTATAGGGTAGGTCCTCCTATAGCCAGCCCTCACCTAGCAAATCCTTGAATGGCCGAGTTATGGCTCTGGTGTGCGCCAGCCTCATTAGAGGGTCATTTTAGTAAGTCCTCACCTATGAAACTCTTAAACAGTAGGGTTACGGCTCCGGCGCACGCAAGGCTCATCAGAGGTCCTCATATAGTATATCCTCCCCTGGTAAATTCTTGGTGGCGGAGTTACGTCTCCGGTGTAAGTTCATCGTGAGGCTCATTAAGACGTCTTCTTGAAATTTTCATGGCGGTTGAACAGCCTATAGTCATGACTCATCATAAACAAAGTACTTTTTCGTGTCTAGATGTATCTTACTCGCCGCTGTCGGTCGTTGAGTGCCGTCTAACTTCCTACCATTTCCCTCCCTGGGTCTAATCCGGCTGAGCCAGCCGGGTATCGAGTTTAATCATGACTTGGCAAATTCGACCAACCAACTGGCCAGTTTCTGTACGTTCTCCAGCGGGACGGCATTGTAGTTGCTCGCCCTTATTCCACCGACAGATCGATGACCTTTAAGGCCAAGAAGCCCTCGCTGTTCCGCGCCGGAAAGGAAAGCCTTTTCCCTAGCCTCATCAGGCACGACTTCTCCGCTGTCTGACTTGGGCCCGGAGATGATCCGGAAGCAAATGTTCATTCTGCTTCGTGCGTCTTTGTGCGGGACGATGTGGTACGTTTCTGAATGAGAGTCAAGGATCTCATATAATAGTTTGGCCTTTTGATTGGCGACCTCTTCCTGGCCAGATACTTTGTTGGTCCCGAATGTGGAGACGAGGCGCTGCAGGACCAAAGTCGCCACGTAAAGGTTGAAGATTGGAAGAGTATTGTACAGACTGTTGTTGGCAGCGATGGTGGAGAAGGAGAGCATAATGGGCGGTAGGCATCCTGAGGTCGGGATGACAGGGGACAGGGCGTGCAGGAACGTAGGAGGTGGAACAAGGTCAAGCAAGGATTTCCGAATGATGACCACGGTAATGCCAGCGATACCAAGGTTCTTTTGCGCGCCGCCCTGAAGAAGTATTAGCACATCGCAAAGAGCGTTGGCTGGAATGCTGGCTCACGAAGATGACCCCGTATTTTCGAACATCAATCTTTCGACTGACGAAGTTGCTGGACATATCAGCAACTACGACTCTGTCGTCTTCTTCATTGCCACTGGTGTTCTCCAAAACTTGGGGGAAACTGGGATATTCGACACCATCAACAGTCTCGTTGTCACACAAGTAAGTCAACGCACTCCCCTTCGGTGTTAGTTTCCACTCGCTTTCGTCCGGAATTTTCCCAAACTTGCCGTTGTTGTTCTTCCTAGCGTCAATGGCAACGTTAACATATTTGGCACCGATCAGTCTCGTTGCTTCCTGACAAGCCTTGAGAGACCAAGATCCCGTTATCACGTAGTCAACCTTCAACTCTGCCTCGATCTCCTTCTTGACCCGCTCCAGGACTTCGGGTTCGTTGCTTTCACCAAGTTCTGCCACGGCCTTCCTCCGACGGCGCTCGATCCAACACCCCACTAGATTCTGCAGAGCGGCGCTAAACTCCCCCGTCCCTCCGGCCTCCATGAACATGATGTCGTATTCGTCCATCGGAATATCATACAAGGTTGCCAAGGCCTCTTTGGCGTCAGCGAGGACCTTGTTCGCTGTTGAAGAGCGGTGCGAGATTTCTGCGAGGGAGAGCCCGGTGCTTTGGAAGTTGACAAATGCTTGAGCGGCTGTTTCAATGACAGGAGTAGGGAGAGGGGCGGGACCAGCGCCAAAATAGGCGACTTCTGAGCGATCAGGCATGGTTGACAATAAGATGTCAGGGCTGGAGAAGTTTCTTTGAGCTGAATTCTCCAGACGACCTGCTTGGCTCGAGCCGAAAGGAATATCAAGCCAACTAGGCGAGAGGGCTTTACTCGAGGTTGATTTTTAGCTGCGGTCAGATGGATTGTAGAAACTCGACTTTAACTAGAAAAGTCTCGATAGCCACAGTCTCGAACACAGAGAAGATGAGTCGAGATTGAAAATCTGGGGGAGAAGACTCCTTAAGAGCTTGGCAGGAGAGAAAATCGTGGGAGCCAATCAACGATGAGCAGTCTGCGAGGCTGCATGTGCATCAAGGACGGTAGTAGCTTCTCTATATCGCTAAGCTCTATGTATAGACATGGGTCAGTTAGCCGAGCGTTTCAAAAAGCTTCTCAATGATAGAGCTTCCTGGCAAGCGGCGCGTCGATTACGTTGTCTAAGCCTTTCAGATTATTTCGATCCAATAGTTGATCTATGGCCTCGTACTCAAAACCGCGGGAAGCGTACCCTGTTGTGCCATGCCACATGCTTGTATGTCAACGCTGCATGAGGACGATGCACGTGTAGGTATCTTGCTGGCTCCGCAGTGTCTTGAATATTTGCGACGGCCCTTACCGATAGGCTGCATGGTCTCTTGCCTAGATCAAGCTGGGTTCACCAAAATGATACGAGGACGAAAAAGTTCGACAGCTTACAACGGCGGAGGTGAATTTCCTTCTTCTTTCTCTCTCTTTTTCCTTTGTCCTCTTGACTCTTTCTTTCCCCTCCACCAATCTCGAGGTTCCGCGCCAGAGGCCTGTAACACCGCTCCATTGGTATAACTTCTGCGCTTCCGCAATTGCCGCGCACAACAAATGCGATGGGCTTCGGAGCCTTGCCTCCTGGGATTTGTAAGCGTGCTGTCCCAGGCCAAGATCTAGGCGAGCTTCATATGCGTGTCTCTGCAAGAAAGTATCAAGGTAATGTGGTAACCAGTGCCCATCGAGAAAACGAGGCCGACGGTTTTCTGACACGCTTTTCTACCCAACCGGCAGTTAACGAGAATGGGCAGACACGTTTGGATAACCGCCTACCTTTCCTTAGCATCTTTCCGACAACTGACCGACCTCCTTAGAGAGTCCTTCGACCAACTCTACTTGCTAGAGGATAACAAGGGCCGAGCAAGTGTTGTAACAAGTAGGGCACCTCAGACCTGTAGATACATCACATAGAATCCACTGCCCCTTATCTTGAGCCATTGGCGTCACTCGGGTGCTCATGGTTGAGGACCTTCCAGGCTTCATGCTGCAACGATTAGTCGAGAGCATTCGTGAATGGGATCGAATATGCTTGCGTATGTATGGGCGAGACGTGGCGGCGGAGGTTCTGTCCGTGCGTTGTCTACTCCTGATCAGTCTTGTACACGTGCGGGTACTCAGGGGTACTCGCGCCACACCACTTGCAATGACTCACACATCCCATGATTTGGAGGTCTCCCGTGTTCGGCCATGGGGGATATGAATGCCTGAATGATCTTGAGTATTCGCAATGGTAGAAATAGGGGCGAGTGTAGATAAACATTCTGCGTCCACGTTTCCTGGCCCCGGGAGCATGCGGATCCATCACAAGTGTTTACGGGTTGCCACCAGTCTGCGTTGGTCATCGCTGGCTGGGAGTCCAGTAACGAAGTCCTGTGACAGGACTTCAAATGGCAGTGACGAAATCCTTATCGGCTTTAGTTCGCCGCAGGGTCTCTTGGGGGTAGGTTTACCCTACTGACATGCCGGGCAAGACCAGATATACTCCTCGAATTTAGTCATCAAGTCCGGAATGAATGCGACGTCTGTGGTTTTGTCGTATACTGGGCCAATTCCGCGTGCGCTGCGGCATCGTGGATGAGTTCAAAGAAGCGCTTCTCGCATGCCTTCGGGACGCAGATCCGCGTCGGACAACCGGGGCAATTGTGGCAATAGAAGGCCGTCACACTTGTCGCAGGATTCGTATCTGTTCCTGTGTTCACATATTGCTTCAGTATCTTCAGGGCGGCCAGCGTCGCGAGTTCAAGACCACACTCAATGACACCGTATTCTCTGTCCCCAAGCTTTTCCATCTTCTGATTATCGGTGATTCCTGGAACACAGCAGCAGCTTCTTCTTCGGAGGTAATGGGAAAAGGGATATCGACGGGCGCGTTTCCAGAAGGAGACGGTTGATTGGAGGCATCTGCAAGGGGCAGAGGGGACTTACACTCCAGTGTTTCTTTGACAATGTGGCCGATGATTCAGTGGATGGCTTTGTCCTCGCAACCTTCGCACTCTCCGCTCATCCAATCAATCTTAGTGAGTGTATCACCGCTCAGGTGTGCCGGTTTAATTGACGAAGCCCTGGCAACTCACTGTTCGCTTTTCAGTACATATATATATACATTCTCGGTCACAGCTTCGAACTCAGGCACGATGTGTTGCTCATGAAGGCCGACAAGGGGATCCGTATGTAAGGCAGTATAGGGTGGACCAGAGAACCCAAGCCTAGAGGGCCATGTTGTCAAGAGGTGCATTGTCGTCGACCGTGAACAGATTCACAAGGGATATCACGTATTTCTTTGGTCGTGTAACTGGGAAATGTCGCGAGCAAAAACATGGTGCCTTGTTGGCGAGAATGAGGACGCCCTTTCAAGGTTGTCCGGGAAGCCCACCGTCTGGAATGTCCAGAGGCGCTCTAGCATACCAGCAACGATTGATGCAGCATCGACGAGCGACCGAAATTTGTTGTCGTCTTCGCAAAGTTGCACCAATTCGTTATCATATACCATGCATCGGCAGTCGTTTTTGCCACTTATTCATGCGCGACTCCCACTCCTGAAATGAATGTCTCACCTTCACCTTGACATGTGTCGGGGGTTCGAGGCGACATCTGGGAAGCACAATTCGTCCAGGTTCCCAAGCATGTTGAATACGTGCAAAACGTGTCCGTGTCGCTGATGAGGCATCAACCGAAGGATGTTTGGGAATAACTGGGCTGCTTTAGCGGCGAACCCGAAGCTTCGTCTCATGCGGTCGAGGAAGGCAAAGAAGATAATTTGGAGAGTTGTTCACCGCCACCAAATTGACTTGCAGTATATAAATGGCTGTTGTCATAGGAGAGGATCACACCAAAAAGCAGAGCGAGGGGACAAAGATATAGGACGAGAGAATGGAGGGGACGCTGATGATTGATGAAGAAAGGATGCATGGTTGGGACCAGACTTTGAGAACCTGGATAAGGCCGAAGGAGGTATTAACACCAGGAACTGCGATGGACTGGCGCTGGGTGATATTAACATGTTCAGGAGTAAATCCAAAAACCAAAACATGAGACCTTTCGATGGCCGACTTCTTGGACATTTATGGCTCGATCGAAGCTTTGAAGAAAGTTCGTGAATTTTATACAACACATTCAAAGCAGGTCGGCCATGATGTGCAGGGAATCCTGGAACGTTAACTGTACAAGCATGAGTCTCGAGACTTCAATATGTTCAAAGTAACGATTCCAGGCAGGGACTAGTGGCCTTACCGACGCTATGCTCCACAGATTCTGACCAGACGGGTCACTTCATCTCCTTCGGTGCAAGCATGAGCTCGGGTCGAACGTATTTGTCAAAGTCCTCCTCCGAGAGAGCCTTCAATTCCATCGCCGACTGTTTCAGAGTTAAGCCCTTTTTGTGGGCATTCTTCGCCACCTTGGAGGCCATGTCGTAACCAATTACGGGGTTGAGGCAGGTGACGAGCATGAGACTGGGCAGAGGTCAGTAACTAGACATCTTAGACTTGTAAAGAGACAGAGTGAGTCGTACCTTTCATGAAGAAGCGTGGAGATTCGCTTTTCGTCCGCCTTCAGACCATCGACCAGATGCTCGACAAATCCATTCATTGCATCCGACAAGATCCTGCTGCTATGAAGGAGATTTCGGATCAATAGAGGTTTGAAGACATTGAGTTCGAATTGGCCGTTCATGCCACCAATCGTTGCTGCGGTATGATTTCCCATGACTTGGGCAGCAACCATAGTCATAGCCTCGCACTGAGTAGGATTGACCTTTCCGGGCATGATGCTGCTGCCGGGCTCGTTTTCTGGGAGGACCAATTCTCCAAGACCGCAACGAGGTCCAGAGCCAAGGTATCTTATATCCTGCGCAATCTTGAAGAGACTGCAGGCAAGGGTGTTTAATGTTCCGGAAGCCTCAACGATACTGTCATGAGCAGCCAGGACCTCGAACTTATTGGGAGCAGTCACGAATTCTGTGCCTGTCATTTTGGTCACCTCTTCAGCAATTCCCTCCGCAAAGCCTTTGAAGGTGTTGAGACCGGTACCAACTGCAGTACCGCCCTGAGCCAGCTGTCGTAGATGCGGGAGACATGCTTGGATCCTCTCAAGGTTTCGATCAAGCTGAGCCACATATCCACTGAACTCTTGGCCGAGGGTCAAGGGTGTAGCATCCTGCAAATGTGTCCTGCCAATTTTGATGATCTTGTCGAATGCTTCCACCTTCTTCTGCAGGGCCTCCCTCAGGTTCTTGAGAGCAGGGATGAGTCTCTCTTCGAAGTCAAGAACAGCAGCAATGTGCATAACCGTAGGAAAGGAATCATTGGAGCTAGCTGACATGTTGACGTGGTCATTAGGATGAACAGGCTTCTTGCTGCCCATTTGTCCTCCCAGAATCTCAATTGCCCGATTTGAGATGACCTCATTTGCGTTCATATTGGACTGCGTGCCGGAACCTGTTTGCCAGACGACGAGAGGAAAGTGGTCGACCAACTTCAAGGAAGCAACTTCGGCGGCGGCCTGCTGGATCGCCTCTCCAATTTTAGGGTCTGTTTCTTTGTCAACGATAGGCTTCAGCAGAGGCTTATCCAGAATGTATACCAAGGCCATATCTCATGTTCACAGTTGCTGCGGCCCCTTTCAGGATACCAAATGCGCGCACAACACCTTCCGGCATTCGATCTTGAGGCTGGTTGATCTTGAAATTGCCCAGAGATCTTTGCGTCTGTGCACCCCAGTATTTGTCTGAGGGGACGTCGATGGGCCCGAAGGCATCCGTTTCGGTTCTCGTGGATGCGGACATACTTGCTGTGCTGCTAAACGCTTGGTAACGGTCCGAAGGAACTCGAGGGGAGATGGGAGTTGTCCTTCGCGAAGTCTGAGAGAGAGAGAAAGAGAAGTTTCGTTGGGCAGGAGCTTTCAAGCAACTACTCCGCACAGTAACGCAGCGAGAGAGCTTGTTTACTGATGCTGAAGGTTTCGCCGCAAAAGAAACCCGCCCCAGCATTTTGTCGTTTTATTTCCACTAGGCAATTGAGGAGAGAACGGCCGCTTCGACTAATATAGAGGTAATTCCTGGTATGCGATCTATTAAATAAGTAGAATAACCACCACAACCAACTCTCCGCTCAACCTGGTGGAAGGAAATGTACTGAACGATGAGAGGGAGCAATTGGCTGGGAAATCGTCGGCGAGACATTCATTGGCGGATGTCGAAATGTTCGGTGGAAGAATTTCTAAAGCAGAGCATCGGGAAATCTCGCCATCTTCCTTCAGCACCCTAATCCTCCCGATCCATTGAGCACAATAGATAGCGAGGGGGATTCTTGTTATTGTAATTACTACAGTGTATGTATTCTCGCTGTCCTCTATGTAAACTCATCCCAACTCAAGCAGACGCCATGTTGTGCAGCCGCTGATAGTAACACCGGGTATCTCTATAAACATCAAATAACGCAAGACAGAATGCCGCAAGGTTCTACCGAAGCCTCTCGCCGATCAAGCAGTGCCTTCAACCGTCTTAATAGCATTGCCAATCATGAAGTCCTTGGCCTTGGCCATCCTGACCAGGAAGCTGGGAAGCTTGAACCCGAAGACAACACCAACACCCCCTTGAGAACCAATAGGGACGAATTGCATGTCGCTAGTAATCTTCTTGTAGATTTTGTTGGTGCGAGGGCCACCTTGAGACTTGTTAGCGGGAGTCGACATGGAGGTAAAATGCAGAGTAACCCACCTTTGCCTTGAAGGTCCAGTTTAATGCTCTCCAAAACAGCTGGTGCTGCAAACTTGACGTCGAGGATGGAGCCATCTGCATAGCTGGCGACGCTCCCAATGCAGTATACGCCTGTAACACCGGGGACATCCAGACGGAGAGTGTGGGGGTCCGTCTTAACCCTCTGCGCATTGTCCAGCCACTCCTGAGGGACGAATTTGCTGTTTGGCTTGTCACCAGTAGCTTCAATATAGATGTCGACCGTCTTGGTCTCGCCATTGCTCAATTTCAGCACCTCCTTTCCATCTTGTGTGGTGTGCTCAACCACTCGGACACTGTCGTTGACAACCTTGACTCCCATCTTCTCAAGCCGAGACTGAGCATCCTGGCCCATCTTCTTGTTGTGAAGTCTGGGAAGGAGGGAGGTACTTCCAGATAAAAGTGTGATTTCCTTCTTCTTTCCGTACACTTCACCAAACTCGCCTGCAGTCTCGACACCCGCAGCGCCTCCACCGGCAATCACGATGGATTGTGCGTCGGGGATCTTTTTGTGAATCTCGCTGATTGCGGCCTTCAGAGGCTCGGAGCCATCGGAGACGGACCACAGGGGGGTGGCAAAGCTGGTACCGGAAGCAATGACGAGGGAGTCGTAATGTACGGCATCTGAGGTGCTGGTGTGAACAGTTCGGCTTGCAGGGTCGATCGAAGTAGCATAGGCTTTGATGAACTCGTATTGCTCCTTCGAGTAGGCCTTGAAGCTGGGGCCAATGGGGATGAGAGCTTTCTCGAGCGGTAGCGACTGCGGGTTTCCGATCACTCTGGGGGCGCCAATCTTCCAGAAGAACTCGTCGTTGGGGGCAATCTGGACGAGCTTGTAGGCCTTTTTCTCTCCATTAGACAGTTGGGGAATGACAGTCTTCAGCAGGTTGTGGGCAACATTAAGGCCAGCGAACGAAGCGCCGATGATGACGATTGTGTGAGTGGTCATGGCGCCGGTCGACGAGTGTCAATGAAGTGCAAGCCTTTCGAGATCAAGGGAGAGAGAGTGCTCGGTCGGTGGTGAGGTGAAGACAGGGTGAAAGGGTGTTGATAAATATAAAATATTAGTCGCCGCCCGGAGAAGCGCAGGCGGACCTGTGCAGTGTGGATGAGATATTGGTGGAGTCAGGGGTTTATTGGTTTGTTTGTTGGAGGTTGAATGGTGCAATTGATCCCCGATATGAGATGAGATGTAAGACAGTACTGGGTAAGAGGGCGCGGACGCCGTGTCCTGTACGGAGTATATGTAGTCGATGCCCGGCGGGCTGTCGAGCTCGTATGGATGCATAGTCAGCTTCTACCAAGTCGACACCCCGGAGTCTTTCCTGCCATGGGCTGACAAAAGGTTGGGGCCATCAGGGTCTTGGGTCGACAATTTTGCAATTTTACCCATTTGCGTTATCACACACAACACACCCAAACACGGCAATGCGTGGCTTGCGCAACCGCAACGCGATTGCCAGGGCCGACCTTGTGATTGGCAACAGAGTCCGGGGATCCACGGTGGCTGATGCTTGATTTGGCCATTTTGTCTGGCCGCTGTGGCACGTGATCTCTCTCGGTCGAGTGCGTGGCGGCAAGAAGACCAACGCCGCAAAGGCCGCATGGGCCGCAAGGGCCACCCAGTGTCACCCAAGGAACGGTTGGCATGTCATCAACACCAAACCACTCGGTGCTAAACACGAGCAATCCACTTTCACAAACTCAAAACCTCGAAAACTTCTCAAGGCTCTCGGTCGAGAGAAGGCTTCCTGTCCACCGACAGGACTCGACTAACATACTCGGTACTTGTACTGGATACTGGTTTGTCGTTCAACTGCCAGGCTCCCACGAATCCCACCCTGTCCATTCGAACTGCCGAAGCTCAAGATGAGCGAAGCAGGAACAGAACTATGTAGGCTATGAAAATGATAAAATACCCCTGTTCCCAATTAGCGTGTGAACACTTATATGCCGGTCACCGATATTACTAGGGCAAGAGTTCAAGTTACGGAAAGTTATCATGGGCAGAGCATTCAAGAACCCACCATTAAATGACTACTCCACTGTAAGACAAGCCCAGGTGAAAAGAATCTACGAAGCTTACTCCTGATGGCCGAAAACCGAAGTAAACGGAAGGATAATAGAAACTTTATTGACGCTCCTCGTAACAACTGCTGTTCCATTCAAACGTACATGAACAAATCAATTTGGGTATCAAATCGTACATCTGAGGCTCCCGCGTCTTCCCCTGGTAGGCCTCCCTCTTATCCTGCTCCTCCCCCAACACCAAGATTACTTGTACATTTAGACCCCCTTCATCTATGGGTGTGGAAGCCAACCAATGCTCCGGCGCAATGAACCAATTCGATCCTTCTTAGCCACGACCTGAGCGGCGGCCTCGGCGTCCAGGCTTTCTCTTGGTTGCTCAACGGGAGCAGGAGTGGCCGAGGTACCCTCAGCCTCGGGGGTGCTAGTGGCAGCAGCCGCCTCAATCTCAGGAACAACGACCGAGTTTTTCCTGGACTCGAGGCCTTCGGTGACAACGCTGTGGCGCCTGGTGGATTTGCTCTCCCGACGACCATCACGGGTGAAGTGTTTGCGATAGAATTCGGAGTGCTTGATGAGCCATGGCTCAAGCCACGATTCGGCGGCGTAAGGTCGATTGCCGGTGCCGGCGGGTTGGTCCATAAGCACTTGCCCGTTGAATCCTTCGGCCATTGCGATTGCGGGGTTTATTGTTTTCTTTTGTTCAAGGTTTGGGTTGTAGGGCTTTGTTTGTAGAAGATGAAGTTGGTTGATTATAGGCCTTTATCGGCTCGTGAGGATCAGCTGGATCGGGTTCTGCGTAAGAAGGGAGACGTGAATATTGGAGTGCTGGAATATCAGGCTTCTGGGGCGAACAACGTCCCTGTACTTATGCACTCGTGCTGACTGCCATCAGACGCGAACTCACGCGTCAAAAACATCTCAATGACGTCTGCATTCTCTTCGATGTATAGTCAAATGACTCACTTACTTCAGCCGCGGAGGGTTTTGTAGCCGCGAAACCCTAGACACGGAGTCTGGGGAAGCGTCAGCACCCGGGCAAATTAGCCAGTTACACTGCTACGAAGATCGACGTATGAGGCTGAACGGCAAGGCTGCGGCCGTAGGGGTCTCCTATCGCCTGTGCCATTGGGCTGTGGGTGGCCTGGTGCTGGGCCCTAAGCGCAGCGGAAGTCGTCGGATGGGTAAACTCTCATTGCGATTCCCAGCTTATGCTTTACGGTGCGATGCGACTCGATACGACGGCGGCCGAAAACCCGCAGCATCTGCTTTGCGAAACCGTCCATCTTGTTTTGCCTAGCATTCGCTGCTATTGTGGATTGTCTGTGCCTTGCTTCCAGTCAAAGGAACAGGCGAGCAGGGATTTGCGAAAGTCAACTCAACATCTCACTGAGTCTCTCCCGCAGGACATTTGGCTTCAACAGAAGATGGTGGCTGCTGTCGTCAGCAAGTCTGGCATAATCCACAGGGCGGGAACTCTGGGAGGGTGATCAGGCAGCAACAAAAAGTCGCGCGGAGTCGGACATAATAGTATCGGCATGGAACGAGGAAATTGAACTGTGCGAGGCTCAAGTTGAAAGCCTCGGAAGCTGCCAAGCATCAAACAAACAAATAATCGCTCGCTGACGTCACTCCTTGCGTATTACGAGCTATACCTATTTGGGAATTTTGCACTTTTCACTCCCCCCAAGCTTGTTGGTGTCCTCACACTTTGTCGTCCGTCTTCTCGCTGATTTCAGGCCTCTTTCTCATCCCTCATTGACTTATTGTGTGCTGCCCCTAGACATATCAGGCGTCTCGGTGCCTGAGCTTCCGCAGATGTCGGACAATGGCGCCGTTCTCAATGGAGATCAGCCCCTTTTAAGGACAACAGGTCTCGTCCTTGTCATGAATACACCAAAAGGTAGGTCGCAATAAGGAGTCGCGTTCGCGGCGTTTCCTCGTGTAAGTAAAGCCACGAGTCCCTTCCCCAGATCAATTTCCACAACCTGTTTGTCATGCAAGCCGAGGTCTTAAAAGGATATTGCAAGTCCCAACTACCGAAAAGACACTCGACCCTAACATTTATGTTTCTCGATATTCCTAGGCCGAGGCGTCTTCGCGACTCAGGATATCCCAAGCGGGACTGTGGTGGATGTCAGCCCGGTACTAATATTCACGGAGGATGAAGTTGAGAAACACACGCGACACACATGCCTTCAACACTACACCTAGTAAGCTTTGACCAACAATTCTCGCAGCGCAAGTCCACTGGCGATGCGCCGACACCTTAAACTCCACTCAGCATGCCGCCAAACGCGATACTTACCGTCCTTTCTTGATCCCAGCTATTGGCCATCTGAGTCCGGTCGCACCATGGTCCAGGCTCTCGCACTTGGGCTTGGATCCATGTTCAATCACTCAACGCGGGATCAAAACGTGGGCTGGAAGCGTAACACCGAGACCGATGTCATTGTCTATACCGCACTGCGGGATATTAAGGCCGGGGAAGAATTATGTATCTCGTATGGGAGTGTGCGGCTCTGGTTCGAGGATGCCGATGCCAATGATGAAGAGGTAGGAGGTGATGAGAACGACACGGGAGGACTGACATTGGCTGAGTTGGAGTTGAGTGGCTTGGGAAAGATGGATCTCTAGGCCTTGAACAAGCGACGAGCAATGAGGAGAGCTCCGAGCCACCTAAAACTCCGCCGCAGGTAGCAATGGGCATGGTACATGGCACTGAGGGTGCAATCCCATTACACAGCACTGTCACCTCTTACCATCTCTGGACGACCCGTCCTACCAATTGATCGATAGGCAACATTCTCCAAGAAATTTCAAGATAGAAGAAGTTTGGAGAACCACGAACGTCATTTTCATTCAGCTCAGTTGATGAAGTCGGTCGCAAAGCCGAACTTGAAGCCATGCAGTATGATCTCGCTTCTGTGCTTCTCAAAAGTAAGGCACTCTGGTCCTATGGGTCCAGCCTGATACAGACCCTATGAATGCACCGGAATACCTAACGTTATCCCAGCTTACCCGACGGCCTAACATTCTCTCCGCTGGACCCGCTTTGATGAAATCCACCATATGTGTTCCGGCATTTCATATCTGCGCACGGTCGTCGAGAACCGCCATAGGAAAAACGGCTCGGAAGTCAGGCGGTCTTAAGCTGAGATACCCTCGGAAAAATGACCACATTCAGGACTTGGTGCACCTCAAGTCAATTGAATGGCCGGAACGAGATATCGATGCGAGAGAGATTCCTCGGCAATGCCTAATCGGGGCGGGACACGGGTGTCTTTTCATCCAAGGGTAATTGGCCACCGCAACGGCTTCCCAGCTCACATTTTAATGAGTCCAACAGTCAATACCCCCCGCAAGCCTCATTCCATCTGCTCTTGCATGTGCCTTTACTATACTCTTTGTTTTGCCTCAAATTTTCTCTCCTCCTTCTCCTGCCTTCCGCAAGCTTGCCAACTATTTTCACCTTCTTTCCACGGGCTTGGAACCTTTTCAACACGAGCTCGTCCATCCCGACGCTTTTGCTTCAACACGGTCAAGAAAACGAGAGCATCCTGTTCGGGGTGAAGACGGCTCCCAAGAAACAGTGAATGCTCCTTTTTCTCGGCGCAAGGCACCCATTGCCACGTGCCAGTGAATGCAACGAACGAACAACTCCGACGACTCAATTCCAAGTTGATTACTATTTTCTGCTTCCTCATTTCGGAAGGAGACCAGCCTACGCGATGCCGCGGTTCAAGGTATATCTGGACGTGACGGAGCCAAACCCTTGATTACAAGCCAACGTGTGCAAGCAAATCCATTCCAATATCCCTTGACTTGCTTGCTTGCTCGCTCATGTTTCTCCTTGAGCTCCCTGTCGAATCAGAAGCCACATGCACAGAAAACAAACAGAACAAACAGATACACAAGACATACGAGAGATAACTCCGCGCTTCTACGTCAAGGAACATGATCAGAAACCGCCCACCACGAATACGAAACTTATCATTTATGCCGTCCAACAACGGACCGCGTCGAGGCATCGCGAAATGCGAATACGTCCCTTTCCCGGCCCTCTGCCCCTCGGCGCAAGTCAGGTGCATTTTTCAATACCGCGGCCCGAACCAATCACAGCGCGCATGCCTCGGGCCGTCGTTTTCCCAAGGCCCTACCACCAGGTAGGTAATAAGCCAGCCTGATCCAGTCTATGATCTCAATCGAGCGAGAGAGGGGAAGCGAAACGCGGGCTCGGCAGGCAGAGAATTGCGGGATGAATACGAGGTACGAAGAGCGCGGCTCAGAAGCTACCAGCCCCTAGCCCTTGTTTACATCTACCAAGCCTACCAAGCTACCTTCCTCTATGGCGCCAAGGGGCTCGCTTCTCGAACAAACAGGGAGGCACGTCGCAGAGCGGTCTAGAAGGTAGATTCAGTCAGTTTTTCTCGTCGCTCGCATCTCCCCCCGCTTTCTCTTCTATCCTCCGTTTCCTCCTCCCCTTCAAAGCTTGAAGCTTGGAGCTCATGGAACATACCAACGAGACAAAGGAGAAAGATCTGTTGAGGTGGTTCATTTCTTTTTCTTTCATATATATGCCAGTTTATGTTTAATCATTGACAGAAGGACCTTCGACGAATCAGACGATGATTGCCAGCCGCGGCGAGAGTGGAAATTGTTGGCGCTGGCACAGCAATGCTAGACGGGAGCATCGACCGTTCTCACTCCCCTCAAAAACCAACTTCTGCAGGCTTTTCACCAACAGCAGACCTCTGAGCAAAATTGATCCCTTGTCAACTAGGCATACTGCGACTCAGTGCATGACCACAGCAACGTGATCATCCATGTACTTGTCAATATTGCCCAAAAAGATACTGGACAGAATCGCAATTCCACCAAATGCGATACTTGTCAAATACACGTACTTGTACGACTCGGCATAAGCGATTTGGCCAGCCAAGACCACCATTTCATACGCCGTGTCGTTGCCCGCTATTCCAGGAATTGTCTTGAGCAGAGGCAGAAGACTGGCGGCTGTATATTCGATGGCTTCGCCGATATATGTCACGTTGGTTATGCCGAGTTCGAGGGCCATGGTTCCACCGATGTACTTTGTGGCGTTGGGGACGAACTTGTTGACAAAGACGTTATAGTACACGGTGTAGCCGATACAACCGCCGATCACACGGATTGACAGCGTGAGAGCGGCAACTGTGGCGATGATGTCGTCGGGACAGATGATCGTGGTCATGACCGATGCAGGGACGACAATGCCGCCGATACCGAGGCCGGCCAGGATCAGTAAGCCCCAGAGCGTGTGCAGGTTATATCGATCGGCGACGGCAAGCGCACCGCAACCGGCTGTCATCAGCACCGAGGAGATGATCATCAACTCACGGTTGTGGCCACGGAAGACGGAAAGCAGCCATAGCACGACGCAGGCGCCGGTGAGAATGCTGAAACCGATAGGGATACCTCGAATTCCAACTCCAACCGGATCGTGACCGTAAACGTTGAAGGCCTGAGTGGGCCAGAACATGACGACGGAGAAGAAGTTTGCCCCTGAGATGGCGGTGATGATCAAGGTGAGCGTAAGGATTCTGGCTTCTTTCTTCATTCTCGATGGGAACATTGGGAATTTTGCGAATTTGACTTCCCAGATGGGGAAGGCAATGAGAAGCAAAAATCCGCCGATGATCAGAGGTGCCAAAACGTGTGCCGAGTGCCATGGGTATTGGTATCCGCCCCATTGCAGACCGGCCAAGAACAGAATCATCCCGGTGATTGAGAGGAAGCCACCCACAAAATCGATCTCGGAAATGATCTCTTTCTTGGTAAGACCACGGGAGTTCGGTCGAGGCGGCGGGAAATAGAAGAACAAGGTGCCGACGAAGCCGACACATGCCCACAGTCCGCAGAGAAGGGTGCAGTATCGCCAGCCAGCGTGCGACGCGATCAACTGAGCCCAAAGGACGGATGGGCAGAAGGGGATGATGGTAAAGACGAGGATGGAAACATATTTCCCTCGTTTCCGAGTCGGGGCTAGCTCAGAGGTAACGGCAAGGGAAGTCAGCTCGCAAATGCCAGCCCCAACTCCCGAGAAAGTCATGCCCACTGTGAGAATGAGATGGTCAGATATCTGGCGTAAGGTAGGCAGACGATGATGCTTACTGATAAACACGCCCATGCTGTGCGTTGTGCCGCAGATGATCATGGCAATGACGAGCAAAGCAGAGCCTCCCAATGCCACCCATCGTCTTCCAATGAGATCGGAAATGGACCCGACAAAGGGGCAGATGGCAGCCAAAGCCAACAGATAAGCGAGGACAAACCAGATCCAGCGGTCGACACCACCAATATCGGCATAAATGTATGGCGGCACGCCACCAAGGATGTACACAGGAATTTGAGAGCCGGTCCACAAGAAAGCCATGGCGACCAAGCTGAGGGCTCTCGTAACGGTCATCTAGAGCAGGCAGCGTCAGTATTGACAAGGACTCGTCGCGGATCTGGCCACGGGGCTGGACTCACCGGGGGTTCGTGGTCATGGTCTTCATCGTCGCCATACGTCCGCAGACCATCTTTCTCATAGTACCCCGGATGACCCGGTACCCTCTCGTTGGTATGGACCTGCTCGACATGGGAGGAGGGATCCTTGTCGTTGACAGGTGAAGGTACATTGTCGCTTGAGCTGTCTTCGAGGGCAGTCATGATGGGCGAGGCAAAAAGGCAGGTAGGGGAGAAGGGTACTGGGGATTGTCCAGGGCGTATCGGTCACCGCGAGAAGTCGGGAAGAGGGGGAGTTGAAAAGAGGACGAGGACGAGGTATCGAGGAAAGAGAAGGGGAAGAGAAGGATTGATGTAGTCCGCGAGGAAGAGATGGATCAGGACGATCGACCGGGAACATGTGTTCAGAGTGAGGGCTTTCAAAGTCACTGATGCTTCATGCGCTTCTCCGACGACCCATTTTCACTTATCTGGGGGCATGGGTTGCTGTGGGCGAGACCCCTGCGAGAACCGGGGACAGTGGGTGGCCAGAGCATGGAGTCTGGAGCGAAAGCATTTGATCAGGTCAAAGTGCAGAGGCTACTGAGGTGAATGGCCGGGGCACGTTACCAATCTCGACACTAGAAGCCGTGGGAAGTGGAGGGTTTTTGGAAAGTATCAACCTGGAAGTGGGCCAGTGGGAGGGTGGAGCGATGCGAGAAGCGGAACGAGACTTCATTCATGGTCTGCGGCGGATTCGCGATGGGGCGCAGCGCCGACAAGATTGGCAGAGGTCGTACATAGTACAGAGGCGTCAGAGGTTGTAGGTAGGAGGAGGTACGAGGTATGGCGAAACTTGGCTTGGGTCGCCTTGATTTGACTTCATTTTGCTTTTTAACTCGACGGGGGAGAGAAGCCATACCCTACAAGGTGTTTGCCACTCGTGAGAGTGAAGCCAGGGGTGAATAGCGAAGTCGAGTCCCAGCAACGGAAGGCGGACGAAAGAGGATCATTAGTCACAAGAGGTTACTGCAAGACTAGTGGTAGCTTCGACGCAGGATGAATCAGAGAAAAGGGGAGGACAGAGAATCAAAAATGAATCACGAGTGATGGGTGATGAATTGATGAGTTGAGAAGCTCGAATGGATAGTAATAGGTAATGGTAGTAATAACTCGGTAGAGAAGAGGGAGAGAAAAGGAGCCTGCGACCAGCCAGAAACCCCAAACGATGCGAACCTCGAGGCAACTTTCACGGTTTTCCCTCCCAGGCTCGCACACTGTTATCTGTCAAATCCAAGCCTTGCTCTTCTTTTTGCCCTTCGCAGCTGCGCTCGGTTCACCCCGGGACACACTGAATTAGCTCAGCCCACTCGCTGCTCGAGGCACAGCAACCCTCTCCCTGGCCATGTCGGAAAGATCTTGGAGCTTCTTCTATCGGCTATCGGTGTGGTCCGTTTAGGCTTTTGCTCGAGCCCAAACGCACAACCCATTTCACTGGCACTCGGGCGAGAAGCAGGGTGAGTCCTCGTTCTCGGGGAGAGCAGCCAAGCTGCAAGCAAGCTGCAAGCATGGGAGCTAACGACATAAGAGAGTTGACGCCAAAGGCAATTGTTGGCGCAGCCAGTCTTGTGGTCGTGTGGGACGCGGGGGCGTGTTGGGTGTGACAGAGCAAGAGATGGAGGTGGCGCTCGGAGGTTGGGGATGCAACCCCTGGACTCGGAAATGTCGACCCTTTCGCAACCACCGAATCGACCAAACCTGCGCCTACCTAGCTCATCCGAGTGTCTTTCGTGGATCCTATTCTGGGTATCATCGCCTCGGTCGGCTTCCTGTCTCCCACCCTCCTCCATATGATCGTGAAATGAATGCTGGGGTACGGAGAAAAGGTAGGCGAGCACACTCGAAGGATTCACAAGAGTGGGACACTACGGGGGCCAGAATGAGCCCGTGGCCCACTTCTCCGCAAAATTGAGTCTGGAGGTGACAGAAGCCGGCACGCAGTGGCCTGTTCCCGACGTGTATTGCGGACGAACATCCAAATTGGTTCAAAAGTCGGTAAACCAACACCTTGCAATACCAACAGATAGCCGGCCATATACCGAGGCTTCTCTTAGGGAAGACTGACATCGACCTGAATACCTCACAGCAGATGCAGTGCCACCCGAATGCACCTTGAAAGACCGCCAAGTCATGGTCAACTTCGACTCATCCTCCCAACATTTCTCTCCGAACCATCGCCTCTCGTTCCTGCCTGTCGTCCCTGATTCCGGAAGTTCTCGAGCACCCAAAACTCTCCCTCAGTCAATTGGTAGGCAAAAGATCCTGTGTCCCCGGGTTCGAAAATGACACACGGTTACCCAGCGGCCAACTCGCAGCGCGCCTCGGTATTTTTGATGCACGTCGATGCTTTTCGCCCAATTAAGTGAATAACCGAGACATTCCTCCATGTGATCGCCTAATCTGGGCACCAGTCCGGTCGTTTGCCACGCTTTTTGTACGATCCCAGAGCCCGGGTCCTCCTAGCCTAAGTTAACTCGCAGCGAGGAACTACGTTTGAGATGTTAAGCGTATTCGTGGTTACCATCTCGGTCCCTGCTCCTGCTGCACCACGTGTCGACATCATCGAATCGTCCCTTACACCATCGACTGCCGCAACTCACAGCCATATCCGAAAATGAGGAGGGCTCAACCACCATTCTGGACAAGGGGACCTTGTCATGACTCGTAAACGAGTGCACTGGGAAATAGTGCCCCAAACTTATGCATCCTCGGATCGTAGAACGACCGGCTCTCCGTGAAGGATCTTCTTCGAACATGGATGGCATCAGATACCTTCAACAGCGTCGTTCACTTCTGAAAAGGTTGCGAAAATCTGTCTCAACAATAAGCCAAGATATCGAGTAAGATGGTCCTCAGACAGCAAGCGCTTACCTGTGTTTCTAGTGTCCTACTCTCGCCGTGACGCTCATGGTGTTTCGTGTAGAAGTCAAGATAAAAGGCCGGCGCAAAACGGCGGCCGGTAGAAAATGAGACACCTCGGTCACTTGTACTCAGTCAATCTTTTCGAACGCTACCTCCCCCTTCGCGCTCCGCCGTGTCTTCTTCATTCTTGAACTGCACCAGTCGAACCTCGACGTTGGCCAGCGCATGCAACTCATCAATAGACGGCAACTCGATTGTGAGCAACTCAGGCGTAATCCTTGGAGGAGCCTCAATCCTCACCACCATGGGTGCCAACTGCAGATGCATCATATTCGGGCCTGGATCTGGCTCCAACTGCGCAGGGGGGATGATGATCGCATATATTTCTCCAGGGCGCATCCTTCTCTTGAAATCAATCGATATCATCTGGTGGTCTCGACTTCCATACTTCTTGTAGAAGTTGTGAATCTGTCGTTGAATGCCTTCCTCAATCAGAGTCACAATCATCCCGCCATGAATTGTGTCCGGCCAACCCTCCAGGCCGAACCCCAGAAAACAGACCATGATGGTAAATTCCTGAGTCGGGTGCTTGAATGTCTTCATGGTCACCCCTTGCGTTCCTTCAAGTTTCTCCGCCACGAGATGTAATCCTTTATTCTCTATCCCGCCGTGAGTCGCGTAGTAGTTCTCCTCTATCCAATTTGCCTGCCGTAGCGAATCGACCAACGGGTGAAGTTCCATCGCGTCGAGGATTTCCTCGTAGAGTTCTTGTTCCGCGGGCGAACCGGGCTCGAAGGGCGGCTGAAGGTACTCCCAGGTTATCAACGCTGTTCCCGCCGTGACACCCAGAGATGCGAAAAGGGCAGCCCAGAAGACAGAGCGGCTGAAGCTCGTCAAGAGCGAGCCACCACCACCCACTCGCGATGGAGGAGTGACATTCTGTATCTTGGGGATGTAGGTTTGACCGTGTGTGTAGGGCGTGGAGTCGGGAACCGGCATCTGACCAGGCGTCTGGAAGTATTCTTTGTGAGGGCCATGGTGGTCGTGCTGAGCTCGCCAGCTGTATACCAAGCCTGAGCGGGCGAGCCGAGCAGTTCTGCCCTCTAGAATTACTCGCTGTGCTCGACGAAGCAAGACAGGGCGAAGCACCTGCATCGGGAGGGTGCGTGTGGCGAGCGTGCGCCCGCAAGAAGCCGGGCCAGCAAAGATCCTAAAGCAAGCAAAATAACTAGTCTACTGAGCAGTGAGATCGGCACTTGAAACTTGGGATACTAGGGTTGAGGAAGGCCGTGGAAAAGTTGCATGGGAAGTTTGGTGTTGTCGCATTGGCAGATTGCGCCTTCAGCCTTGGCGGCGAGGATGGTTGTGCCAGGGACAACAGCAAATTCTCAAAGCTACCATCCTATTCCGGGTATCTTACAACCGGCTGCAGTTCTCTAGCGAGACAAGGATCTGTATATATGGGCTTTGGGAGATTAGAGACTCGAAGGCTCACTTTTAGCGAATGGAATCACTATGGGCAGAGTTGACAATACCTACTTGTACAAGTATAGTATCTCGTACTCGCTTCTACGGATTTCCATGGCGATGTCGCGTCAAAGGAAGCATCAACGCAGTGAATGCTCCATCGCAGCAGATATGCTTCTTGACAAGATCGGAAAGCGCGAACAGGGAAGGCAGTTCAGGACAAGGATTTTGATAGTTTGTCAAAATGTACCAGCCCGTCTCAAAAACGCCTTTTGTTGAACATCAACATGGCCAACTATCCCATCTTCAAGCCAAGGTATTGGTTTTCTTCCGGCTCTAGGGAATCTATGCATTGATTCGTGTGTCATGCAACTCACAACTGCCGAAGGCGACAGTATCCCCATTGTTCGTGCCCTTTCCTCGTAGTTGGCTGACCGACCGCGCCCCCGTTTTCAGCATCGATTCTTCTGCACTTGACATGCCACCATGGTCGGTCTTCGTCGTTTGGCAACTGCTTCGACTACTGCCACAACGCAGGGAAGATGGTGTTTATGATGTCGGGTTGGGGTTCATCTGTAGATATCAAGCATCAGCGTCTCATTTTCCTCACGCAGCCCTTGTTTTGATGTCCATAACCTCCATACCTTTCTCTTGCCACCCGTCATCGTCACGTTGACAAACCGTCTGGTGTATGTAATTCTCTTTTTCGCACGGCCCTTAGGCGTCTTCTTCTTTTCTTGCTTTTCAACCTGTGTAGAGAATCGTAAGTCCATTATTCACTGCCGGTCATAAAACTTGCTGTATGATAGAATTGACCGAAGGTGGCGTTACGGAAGAAACTGCTGTTGGGCGCAACTCACCTTGGGAGTTTGAGACTTGACTTTGCCGGCACGGGCAAGAGATCCGTGAACTTTACCCATGATTGTGGATCGATATCACTTGAGCTGATGAGTAGATTGTTGGACTTCGGGAGCAGGTTGCAAGACAGTCGTTGATGGAACGATGACAGAGTGCAGTTCGGCGATGATGGATTTGAAGTTTGGAACTGGTGGGCGCCAAGACCTGGCCTAAACAGGCAAGAGGCAAATCTGCCAGCACGTGAGTGAGGAATGTCGAGGAAAGTTCGCTTTACTTCAAAGCAGATTTTGTGAATCACAAACTTCAGGTCGTGGTTTACCACTGTCCTGCGGAAAAGAACACCCTAGAGAACCTCTTCCTCAATGCTCCTTGGCGCTGCTCGTCTATGTCTAAATATGCTCCGCTGTCTTTTTCACCCGACACGCTATTGATCCTCATAACCAGAAAAAGTGTACATAACCCTCACGATTAGTCCTCAATGTCGGCCTTGGTGGGAAGATCAACAGCTCGGTAAAGCAGAATGAGCGCAGAAGCACTTTCGCCGCCACCGGAAAGAGCCATGATTCTGTCCCCATCGACCTCGCTGACTTTCTCGTCGTTGAACCACCACCATTTACCATCCTGCTCTCTCCGCTTGCCCCCAGGTGCTTTGGGATCATCTACCAGCCTGCCTTGCTTCTTGACAAAACTGGTGTAGTGGCCGCTATCAGCACTTGCGCCTTGGTGGGTGATGACGCCGCTGAGCTCGTACAAGCCCGACTTGTTCGACCCTTCGTCAGCTGCGAGCTCCGGATCGATGAGAGCGAAGAGTTCTTTCATGCCTTGATTCAGGGCGGCAGCTCGTTCGGCCTCGTACTCTGCATCCGTCTTGTACACATCCATTTCGCCACCTTCGTGCTCCTTTTTCTTCCCCTCCTCTTTCTCCTTTTGTTCGCGGAGCTTAGCAATCGGAGCAGCCTCCGCAGCCTTCATTGCTTCATCATGCTTTCGGTCTTCTTCCTGCCTGTGGGCCAACTTCTGCCGCTTCCTAGCCCTCTCTACATCCTGCTCGAACTTGCGAATGTCGCGAACCTTGTCGCGAACTGGTATCAGTCTCTTTTTCATATCTTCCGTACAGAACTCCACGATGTCGAGTTCTTCTGGAAATGTGACTTTCCGCATAATCTTCGTTTTCTTCTGTATATCCTTTTTCCAAAAGAATCGAACAAAGTGCACCGTCAGGTACTTGGGAAGCCGGGATATTCGAGAGGTTTTGATGTATTGTGCATCCCGTCCGAGAGTTGGTGAGTTTTTTTCAATCACTTCTGTCAAGGCAGCCCTGATGCCGTCGTGGAGATGATTGATAGATTGGTCAATGTGACAGTCGAGCTTCAGGAAAGCTTCCTCAGACTCGACAACAGGCTCGTTGTCTCCCACTTCTGAAGGAGGAGCAAGTGAGGAATGGAATGAACCGGCCATGTATCGATCGATGAACGCAACATCTTTCTGATCTTCAGTTCCTTTGTCAGCAACCTTGAGCTTCTGTCTCAGCTGATGAACAATCTGTGACCAAGCTTCCTCGGCATCTTGCTGGGCATAGCCAACTCCGTTCTTTGCTTTCTGGGCGAACTGAGGATAAACAGTGCGCAGCGCGTTCAAGAACATCATGGGGGGAAATCCTTCTTGCGTTTCGGACATTTGTTTGTAGAGATCTCGTAGCTGAGTAGTTAGGTCGTTGGAGGAGCCGAGGCCACCAAGGCCGAAGCGACTGAGAGCTTCTAGATTCGCAACCGGGGCCGCCTCGGCCTTGTAGATCTTCAACGAGTCTTGCATTTCAGGTATGCTCCGGAGGACTTGCAGTGTAGAGTTCAAATAACAGGTGTTTCCGAGGTTCTGGAGACCGGCCGGAGTAGCACCTTCTTGAGCGGCGGCTTCGGCTTCCGTCATGTCCTCAACAAATTTTGGCTTCTCAGCGGGGGCGGTGACTGCGCTGCTCTCGCCAGAAGCGGTGCCGAGCATAGTGAAGATTTGGCCAGGTTTTGCATTGAGCTTGGATAGCTCAGTATCATCTTTGAGCTTTCCACCTTTAATAAGAACGGACTGTCGGTCGGGTTCCACGCCAGTGAGAGAGAAGAGTTGGAGTTTGAGCATCTCGCCATTTGCCGTTGGGTCAAGGTCGACATCGTACTTCTTGCCCTGGTGCTTGATGACAACTGAAAGCCGTTAGAAGTGCATTCTCTTGGTTCAAAGTCCCCTGAAAGACTTACCAGGAATGGTCGCCATGATATCGTTCTGTTCTGCAAGACACAGACAAGAGTGACAGGGGAGGTCTTTAATGCAAGAGAATTGTGAGGTCAAGTCAGGGAAAACAAATGCTTGGAATTCGTTAGAAAGCGGCGAAATATGCAAGGCTCGCAGGCACAAAGACAGCACGTCACCCGATGAGGGTCCCCCACGACCGCCGCAGCCATCACCACCAAAGGGCCGCATGCCAAGGCACCCTCACAACCGCAGCTGCACCTCGTATGTAGGTGAGTGCCAACGCAGAGCAAAGCATTCTCGCAGCTTGTGTTACAGCCTGATAGATAACTATGTATTGAGAGACATTACGTTCTGTCACGATGCTAAACAAAATATGCCGAGTATGGCGCTGGTGAGGCAGGCTAACGTCACAGCATGGCATGTCTCGTCAGGGTGCAGGTGAGTCTAGTTCACTCTGCCTGCCCATCAGACTGCCTAGAAGATGTGCTCAATGCGGTTAACAAAACTCGTGCAGTTTACGACGCTCAGGATGCTACAACGGTTCGAGGATATGTGGTTGCATTCGCGTCAAGAATCCAACACTATGGGGCCGTGTTGGATATGTTAACACAGCATCATCCAGAATATGTCGCACAGACATTGGGCGATATCCGCGTACACCTGAAGAGTGCGGTACACCCGAACCGACCGAATACCAATGGCGCAGATAGACATCAGATCAACGGATGAAATGACCACTGTGCATATCCCTCGCGGCCGCCACACGTTTCATGTGCAAGGGGGGCTGGTGCGCGATGGAACCCCCATTTCCTCCAGCGAGCCTTGACCCTATGAACACTCGAACTGTTAACGACATAGTGGTTAGCTATACCATCTCCGAAGATCGAACTGGAGATTCAACACATGGAAATAGCGCTGTCTTGCTATGCTAGCCAAGCGACGAAACTGCCTATTACTACATGCGGAGTTTGTTCAACGCGATGGTTCGGAAAATCCGCTTTCCCTGAACGATTTTTCTCGCATCTCGCAGTCAGATCGTGAGGATGGGAACAGTCCGGGGAAACCGCCATGGTACTTGCCGAGAACTTTGCAACAACCACAGTCATTCAATAGTGAGCCGCCAGAGGACTCAGTTCCGGACTTCAATATGCCCGCGGATTGTTCACAGACGATTATCTGCAAGCACATGGTTCCCCTTTGCCTGAACTATCTCCAAATGATAACAAGGTTATCAACTTAAGGGCCGCAGAGCTCCAAAAATGAACACGCCTACGGAAGAGAAGTGGAGTATTCTCAACAAGATGAACGCTCAACCGCGATAGAACCTGGCGGAGAAGGCTGTCGATTGCATTGCATAATATTTCCGTGTGCTAACCACCAAGGAGTTCCGAAGACGTCAAAAGATGGAGATGGGTATGGGCGGCAATACAGGCGAGATGATGAACGCCAATCTAATGGGGAAATCGTAGAAACCAAGCTCGCCAGAAACCAATCTCTCAAAGTATGCCCGCCAAAGTGAGGAGGAATTTGCTGCAGCAGAAGGATAATGCTCAGTTGGTTCAGGCTCAGCCTGTTGACCGTCTCATGCTTGACAGAAGCGAGCTGAATTGGTTTCGGCCCCCGTCTTCAGGACCTCTGTCTGTGGGCTGAATCGACGTCGCTTGCGGACTCGGTTGGCTCGCTTTCACCAGAAGCAAGGAAAGGAGCGATACGATAATTACTGCAAACAGGCGGTGGCTAAATGGGCAAAGCCCATTCTTTGAGGTTTCCGAACATTGCGGCATGAGTCCCTCTCCCTTGTCGTCCTACAACGCCGACTTCTCAATCTACCCTTGCCTCCCCAATAACTTCTATCGGTTATTCTTGACCGATATATTGGTTCTCTTCAGCCTTTTCGCTGGTATCCCAGCTTGCCAGTTGTGTCAGCTAAGAGACCCGTCCCCTTTGAGGTGCCAGAGAGCCTTTGCCTCAGTCCATCCATTCCCTCCAAAGGAAGCCTCCCAGCCTTGCCTGTGAGGATCAAGCGTAACCTCTCCCGATGTGATAGGGTAGAGGTCCTCCGCCTGACAGATGGTCCAGTCGGTGTCGCCGTCTGATATGCGGCCACCATGCGCTAATCGGCCCTGATCCGTTGTTGGCGTGCAAAACAGTCATCAGGATCTCATGTATCGACAAGGTATTTCTCGAACTCCTCAACAACCTCACTGGCGCATTCCAAGTGTTGGCTGCCGAACTTCTGCTTCCGGAAAGCAGCGAGATGCCTGGCAGTCTTGATGACATATCTGATCTGCCGGCCGTTGAGCGCCTCGCGAGCCAAACTCTTTACATTATCGCTCAGGTCCTCGAACTCCATATCCACTCCCGCTTTGTGCAGAGCTTTGAAAAAGTTATTCCATATCTTGAAGCGTTCAGCTTCGTCAAGGGGCGGATAGTGTATTGCTAACTACGTGCGTGACTTGAACGCCTCGTCGAAGAGAGTGGCACGGTTCGAGGTAAGAATCAGGATGCCGTTGAAGTACTCGAGAACGCGAAGGAAGACTGACACTAGAGCATTACGAGCTAGATCATTCTGCGTGCATTTCTCTAAGAAGACCTCTCCCTCTTCCAAAAGCACATCGAAATCCCAGATCGTTCATAGATAGAGGGCCGACTCGCGGTATTTCTCGACGCCTTCAGCCTCAGCCCCAATGTTCACGTAAGTAAATCGATACAGCGGTTTGTTCGCCAGTTCAGCGACAGTCTCTGCAGTGAGAGTTTTGCCGGTACCAGGAGGCCCATGAAGTAACATTATGAGTCCCACCCCTTTGCCCTCAATAACGCCTGTTGCTTGATTGTTTTCCAGGGGGACGGTGACTAGAGCTTGATTCAACTCCTTTTTATTTGCCTTAAGCACGAGGTGGTTGAAAGCGTTTTCATTGCATCGTACCGGCCGGATGAAGTCGACTTGCAGACTCCCTGCAAAAAAAGTCAGCAATTAGTCAAAGTGAACTAGGGAGCAAGCATACGCCACTTCTTGTCATGGAAAGCGAAACCTGGAATCTTTGCGGGCATAAGCAGTCGAAATGCACCAGTTGAAGGTTCTTTCTTTAACATGTCGACGTCCTCGTGCCCATCGACCCTGTACTCAAGATACCTATCTGGATGCAAGGTTCGATGTGATCCACGTCTACCAAGAATTTGGGACTCCCCTGCGACAAGTTAGACAGCGGGCACACGACTTACCGTCACTATCTTGAAATTGGACCTCTGAGGTCCTTTGCACATTACGAGCCTTTTCTGTCTGCAACCCCAGAACTCGGTGCCTCTTTCTCCAGGTGGTCGTGCAGGCCGTCTTTGTCCAAACGTAGCGGCAAAGCTTCCATGCTTTTCACAGCAACCGCGTCGTCATCCTCGCCGATCCCGTCAACGACTATCCGAATATGCTGACGACGAAATCTCCCGTCAAACTCCAGTGTCCAGCTGCTGTGTGTAATCTGATCGTCGTATCGCCATTCTACCTCCTCAACCATGTATGCGTGGGGAACTCCATCCAGATTTCGAATAATTACTTCACCTGGTCGGAATAACTTTGCTGAAGCCCTTGTTCGTGACAAGACCTTGATTGAATAGCCTGTCTGCTTCTGCCCATTGAGGTCTACCTGCAGCCTGGACATAATCGAGAATCAGCAAAGCGCTAGCCGAAGTTGCGTTGAGAGGCTCGTGGAATTCTGTACCAGGTCTCGAATGCGTTGGTGGCAATGGTAAAAACAATCGTATGAAGCACTTAGATCGCTTTCCACGTCCCAAGACCGGTTCTCGACGTCGTGAGACACAAGATCCTCAAATGCGTCAGTCAGACCGTCTTGAATGATGGCCATCTCCTCCGAAGTTGGAGAAGCAAGGTCAGTATCCTTTTGGCAGAACATGGAAACATGGCTTCAATTTCAGGAACGAAGCTCGGTCGATCGTATCAGCCGCCGTGTTCACAAATTGATCTCCTATCTGGGCATGGTATTGACGGCGGTGGTACTTCTTGTAGGCCACAAACGCAACAAGACCTTGGTGGTCAATGTACGCGTCCACATCGGTATATAATGTTGTCCGTGCAGCGCTGCGCCCCTCGTGTCTTTATCATAGAGACTAGGTCGGTCCCGGTAATAAGCAGTAAGTGGATGCTGAGAATGATCTTCCTCGTTGTCCCGGCGGAGATCGCAGTACACGCGATGTAGCACGAGAAACGGGTGCAATGACGACCCTTACGATGGCATGCCTAGCTGAGAGTCTGCAAGTGCGCTCGCGCCGGTTTCATCGCTCTATGGCGGCCGCGATGTAGTTAGGGGGACATGATGGCTTTTCTTTGTCCTCTGACACTTTCAGGGACGAACCCACTCTTCATCTGAGGAGTTTGATGTCTCACGTGCCTAGTTTTTGACTTGAAAAAGTGTTGATGAGGTGCTATCATGCGTAGCCTCGACGTTAAAGCTAGCGCTCTGTGAATTCATATTTCTTACAGTGACCGAGCTAGGTACTTTGTGGCTGCCCCTTCAATATACAAAGAGGGGTAGAGTGCACAAGTTGAGATTTTGGCCTGCAACCTGCAATGGTGGCAGTACATGTGGAGACACGACTCGCCGAATCAGCCTCGCCCATAGGCTCTGGACGAGATCAAGCAGTGCTGCGCGGCGGCACCCTTGCTCGCTGAAACCGCCTGGGAGGCATCTCAGGGCACCTACCCAGGCTATGGCCTATTCTCGAGAAATCATATGTCCCAACAAGTGTCGAAGAGGAAGAGTGCTCGAAGAGGCCGCTGCCCCCGCGTATAGTCACCGGCTGACGCGACTGCTACAAATTTCGGATTAGGGCCTAGCCTAAGGGTTCATTGGGACATAGTGACAGAATTCTGCCTCACCTCCTCCATACACGTACCCTGGTCTCCCAGTGTGAAGGCGGAGGTTGATTTAAAGCCTAGCAGCTGGCGAGGCTGGATGAGTTGCACGTGAGCTCGGCGGAGTTTCTCCCCGTGTTTAATTGCCAAGCCCCGCTGTCACAGGTGAGCGCAGTGACGCCTGCTGATGACGGATCTTGCGGGCAGGTCCCCTCCACAGAATCTCTTCAATCCTCAATCTGCGTCGAAAGCAACAAGCTCTTGTTCGACAATTACAAGTCGAAGAACCAGAGGGGTACAGCAAATACCACTTTCACTTCGAATTCAACTCATTGTCAATGTGTCGGTGAAACTCCTCGCTCTCCCCCAATTCCAATTGAGCGAGCGCGTTGAAGATGGTGGGCCTTCTCTATCTCAATTTGATGAACTTCTGGATTGTGTGATTTGCTGACTGTTGCGTTCAGTCCCAATCATTACGCCCTTATCTTCAATGTGTCCGCTCCTCCCTGACCGCTGCTCTTTCTCTCTCAAACTTCGCCTCTCAAGCATCAGAAAGACACAATGTCCCTGAAATCGAGGCAGCCAGTTCGCCAGAAGTCCTGCTGAACCCGCTCACGATCGCCCGCAATGAAAATGAGAAGGTTTTATTAGAACCCAGCGTCAATAGCGTGCGAGTGAGCATCAGAATAAAGCAGGCCGATGAGATTGAGAATATCCTGGTCCATAAGTTTACCCGCTTCCTCACCCAGCGTGCTGAGTCGTTCTTCATTCTACGACGGAAGCCAGTCAAAGTTGGTGGCAGCAGCACTACCCAAAGTCGAGTCCTGACAAGTTACAGGGCTATGATATCTCATTCTTAATTACAAACACTCATACGGAAGAAATGCTCAAGCATAAGTTGGTGGATTTCATCATCCAATTCATGGAAGAAGTCGACAAGGAAATCTCGGAGATGAAGCTCTTCGTAAGTTATCAACTCCCGGGCACAGTTTGTGTGCTCCTACTGACCCGGTCTACAGCTAAACGCCAGAGCTCGCTTTGTGGCTGAATCATTCTTGACTCCGGTAAGCCCTTGAAGTTGCTTGGGTGTTGTCATACTTAACAAGATGCAGTTCGACTAGATTTAGAACGGTCGACAAAGTCAAAGTAACAACAGACACAAATCGTGCTCGCGTGGTGGTGTTGGCGGGGCGCATGACAAGCCCAGCTATCTTGGATGAGCCCAACAAGGCTGCGGATTGATCACGACCCCTGAGATCATGTGACTTCGAGTCAACGACATGTCGAACCGTGCAGAATACTTGAAGCAGCTCTAGCGTTGACGATGGACCATGGCGAATGATGAACAAGAAGAGGGCGATTATCATCGTTCAGACCATTCTGTTCCGTTCTGCAGACGTTGAATACATGTTATTGTTCAGAAATCATCTTGTCTCAAATGGGGGCTGTCAATTAGGCCATACAAAATGAGTTGTGATCATTAGATCGAGAAGACGATGTCCGAAGTTCTGAACCAGACACTGTGGGAGCCCAGAGCGTCCGCCCTCCTCATCGCTACCCTGAAGTTGGAGGACTGAAACCGACAGCGAACGCACTCTGGCGACCACCCGAGTCATCGAACCAGATCACACAACGACCTCCAGGTTCTCTCTAGGCGGTGTGGCAGTCGCCAAGCTCTCTCTGATTATATGGTGAGACTTTCAAGTGAGGGAAGATTTCACCCCGTTGCTGCCCTCAATCAATGTCTTGGACTCACCGCGCTCGAGCTCTCACCAAATCTTTCGCACAACAGGAAACAGGTTCAGTGGATCTCATTTTTAGAAGCAGGTCTGTTCTCTCACTCTTACGTTCGACTGGTACTGTCTGCTCAAGGACGCGTCGGCATACCTTGTCGTCCCTTCTACTTGAACTTTTCTTTCATTTTCATGTCGTTCTTCTTAACTCCTTTCATCCTGCCCTCCTCTCCCTCTGTTTGACGTTACTTTGAAGACTGTCACCATGGAAGGCCCTCCAGGGTTCAATCCTGTCCTGAGTGACGGCCCTCCTCCATATCCCTCTGTTCCTCCCCTCGCACCACAACTTCCCACCCCTGCAAATTTCCACGCAGGAATCCAGTTTCCTCCGCAGCAGGGCGTTGGTGTGGTGAACATGGGCGATCCGGCTTTGGCTGCGATGAACGCTGCTGCACCACTCTTGACAATGCCGGCACCTTCGGTCCCCAACCTCTACCTTCCAAACAACACTCCGTTCTCATCCGCTGTCGTGTACGGACCTGCCCAAGCTGTTAACGTCATGACAACATCAAATGCCGCAGTGCCATTTGATCCAAGTACACCACCACCGTTCGCTGATCGGGCTCAGTTGCAATTCCCCAGACGTCACGGTGTCCTTAAGATCATAAATGTGAGTTTGTTTGTCTCCTGCTTTTTTGAGACTCTCCAAACAATCATTTTCAGCGTCTTTTGAGTCATTCGTCACCTGTTCATCACTTTTGTTCCATCTTGTGCTTAGAGTCGATCTGGGAGAATTTTTCCGCTCCGGATTGGCCGAGCATCAATCCTCTGTGGCTTTCAAAGTCGTGGTTGTTCTTCCTATCCTGTACAAATCTTCGTCGTCATGTTCGACTTGTCTCCGCCGGTGCGCATGCTAAAATTGTCAATCTCCGCCAGATCCCATACACTATCAGCATCCCCGAGATGCAGCAGTTCATCTGCAAGTACATCCCACAACATCACTTGATCACACCCCATGTGGCTGGTTACCCTATCCACATTATCATGGAACGCTCTACTGGAAAGACGATGGACTGCTATGTTGAGTTGACTAGCACGCTTACTGCTGCTCAAGACTGGGAACATGCTTTTGGCCTTAAGTGCATGCGAATTCCGAAGATCGGCCAGCGCAATGTGGAAGTCTTCCTCAGTAACCAAGGCGAGCTGATGAAGGACATGTTCCCCCGTGCCAAATGTATTCACTTCGACAGCCAGCAGTTTGGCGCCCCGAAACTGGTGCCGAACCGCGATATCTTCTCGTCGGGTTACAAGGGATTCATGACCAACGAGGAACTCACTTGCATGGTCCGCCATGCTGAGTATCCACAGCGGGTGAGGCCATTTCCCCTTCCTCAGTCTAGCTGACAACATTCGAACTGACATGTTTGCCTTGATAACCCAGTCCCAGTTTGCGAATCGAAGTATGCAACGTACCTTTGAGAGCATGATCAGCACTTTGTACAAGGCAAGCCATCCCCTCCTTTTGCACCCGGCAAAGAAAGAAAAGCAAACAGTTCTAACCACGCCTCCAGTTCCCTTGGTTTTCCACCAAACTTTACACCATACGTCAGACCCTGACCATGTTCGACGCTTACAAGAAGCAGCTTGACGTTCTTATTGTCAAAGTCGACTCTTCGAGAGGCATACCCCGTGAAGTGGGCCTGGACAACAAACTCCTGATGGATTTCATCTTTGCGGGCCTTAATACACCTGGCTTCAATGAGCGTCAGCGCGCAGACATTGTTGCGTCCTCTCAGGCGCTAGCATGTGGCTTCAGCATCAGCAAGCATGCTGCTTACTGGCCGTTTCACACCTTGTCTGCTCATCCTGCCAACTTGACTGAACAGGACGTCGGAATGTGGCTTGAGATTTTGAGCATCGGCATGGGAGTCATGGAGGAACAAAAACGCAAACAAATTGGCATCGAGCCGTATCTCGAGGTCTGCCGTGACAGTGAAGGCCATGTCTTGTTCACACCTACCGAGGCCGGTCTCGACTTGAAGCGCGGACATTTCTCCATGTGGGAAAAACGATTTATGAATCATATGATAGAGCTTGGTTGGGAGGCTTACCTCGGTCAAATGGGTGTTGAGCCACCAATGCCCATGCAGCATCCAGACGTGCATCACTTCAACAACAACTACATCATTGGAGCCGCTCATATCAATCCTGTCGATCCTTTCGATGCCCCAGGAAGCAGCAACGCCCGTCCTGTTAGTCCACTTAACAGCAACGGCCAGGAATCCGGTTCTGCTGTCTACGCTGCCAA